TAATTTGTTAAACTCTTAATTGGACTGTTCGCTGTTTCCGTTAAACATTCCGTTAATTGTGTTTTTTTTTGTTAGTTTGGGATTTGAATGTTGAACCGGGTTTCTAGTTTTAATTAAATTAGCGGATTTCCGAAATTATGCGGCCATAATTCAACTCGGTTTCGCTCCATTATGAAAATGCAATTTCACAATTTTGAAAGTTGCGCACGAGTCTCTCTCTTTCGCTCTGTCTTTCATTGTGATTAAACCAATGCAGGGATTTAATTAACTTCCTAACCATATGCTTCTGATGCCAGAAATTTTGCAGATGATTTCTGTACCTCTTACAATTGAAGAAATATAATAGAATACTTAAATTAAAGCTTGAAAATGAGTGTTTTTACATTTTAGTGATTTTCTCGGAAACTATAATAGATTGAATGGATTGGGAATGTTGTGATTACTCACACATTGCTGTAGTTCCATCCATTTGGTAGTAATTGAAAAAAATGAAAAATTAACTCTCTAAAAAGCATTGCTTTACATTTCAGTGACTTTCTCGAAAACTATAATAGATTTAATTGATCTAAAAGATACATATGTTGTGAGTATTCACACATTGCTGTAGTTTCATCCATTTTGTAGTAATTGAAAAAAATGGAAAATCAACGATCGAAAAAGCATTGATTTATATTTCAGTGACTTTCTCGGAAAGTATAAGAGATTGAATGGTTTCAAAAGATATATATGAAAACTGGATGTTTTGGGTATGTTGTGAGTATTCACACATTGCTGTAGTTTCATCCATTTTGTAGTAATTGAAAAAAAAAAAGAAAAATTAACGCTCGAAAAAGCAATGCTTTACATTTTAGTAACTTTCTCGGAAAGTATAGAAGACTGAATGGATGCAAAAGATGCATATGAAAGTTGGATGTTTTGGGAATGTTGCGAGTATTCACACATTACTGTACTTTCATCCATTTGGTAGTAATTAAAAAAAATGGAAAATTAACACTCAAAAAAGCAGTGATTTACATTTCAGTGACTTTCTCGGAAACTATAATAGATTGAACGGATCCAAAATATGCATATGAAAGCTGTATGTTTTGGGAATGTTTTGAGTATTCAAACGTTGCTGTGGTTTCATCCATTTGACTGTTATTTGTAGTTCAAAGAAGAAATATATTAAAACGCTTATATTTACGAAATAAATACAGTAAATAAATCAATTAATCGATGAAAAAACATTGTCTGAATCCCGTATAATATAATTTTAGTACTCACATTTCCGGAGTATGGGTGAGTTAGAGAATAAAAAAAAGGAGGGAAATAGATCCACCCTCAAGGATGGTAGAGGAAAAGAAAGAATATATAAATAACGCGGCCAGCTGATAAGATTACCTCCATACATCACCTTTATTGTTGCATCATAACTTACATTATGCGCTCGTATATATTACACGTATGAGTGGGGAAACAGCGGTGGCTGTGGCGTAGAAGAGGGATGAACAGTGTTTGGTTGGTAGTGGTTTCGTGTAGGCCTTCACCAAAAATTGATGAACGCACATGTATGCATGCAAACAGAAATATATATGTATACATACACACAAACTGTATATGTGTCTGTGATATAACATGTATCTGGGGGGGTGAATCCAGGCTTAGCCTCCTATTCATATTTTAAATATTCGCTCCCCCTTACACGTGAAACACGTTCCCAATTTATAAGGAGATATTGCTTATTATTTTGTACTTATACTTTATTGTAACGAAGAAAAAACTACACTAAACATGTCAAAACTTGTACATTATAGCAGCAATTACTGTAATTCGTTAGTTCTTAGAGCGTGCAGGTAACATTTTCCTTAGTACATAATAAAGTTTATTGATTTTCGAAAGTATATAAATAATAAATTGGAAATTTATATACAACATATTTATTATGTTACATAGTACAATTTGCAGCCTTAGAAAATACTTAATATGATTGTGATAATTTTAGAATATTTTCATATTTAGACCAAATAATTTTTATTTAAACATCTTTATTGACTTTTATAAGAAAAGTTGGAAAAAAATTATAAAAGTTTTTAAATAAATTAAGGAAGATTTTAAATCTTCGGTTTTGTGTAAACAAAAAGTGAAAGATTTCTTTATTTGGAAATTTTAAAACTGATTGTTTTTTTTAACTTACTAGAAAAAAAAAATAGAAATTAATAGCAATTAAATTAATTAAAGAAGATTTTGAATCTGTGTATAAAATATTGACGATTTCTTCGTTTTTTTTATTGATTGGAAGTTTTTAAAGTAATTTTTTTTCTTTGTAATTAATGAAAATTGCTGTGTTACAAACAAGAAGAAAACTTGTATTTGAAACCTATGGAATTCGTATGCAGCGCGGAGAGCACAGACTATGATAATCTGGTTATGTATAATGTATTTTCTGTTCGGCGCTGCAACGATTTATGTCACTCCAGTTGATAATGCAGTTACGCAACTCAAGTCCCCGACGCTTAATATGTATATATGATTATTAGGCTTCCTCGCCGCTTTCCGAAACAGGATTAGAGTAAATCCTTCGTGCAGGATAAGTAAATATTATCAGCAATTTTCCGTTCTTCTCGCTACACTTATTGAATATGCACGATATTTTGCAATACATTTTTTCTTTTTGCCCGAAATAAATTCTTTTCAAACTCTTTTATTTTCAATTTTAAAGCTACAGACAACAACTGCATTATTTATACGAAGCCGAAGCCCGACAACCGAAATCCCGACGTTCGAAATCCCGACTATGTCAAAATCCCGAATATCATAATCCCGACAATTAAAATCCCGACTATATCGAAATCCCGATAGTGTCTTTTATTATTATAAATTTCTTCAATAACATTTTTATGGTAGCCCGGATTTCGATATAGCCAGGATTTTGATTGTCGGGATTTCGATATAGTCGGGATTATGGAAGTCGGAATTTTGACATAGTCGGGATTTCAAGCGTCGGGATTTTAATACAGCCGGGATTTCGAACGTCGGGATTTCGAAGGTCGAGATTTCAATAGACGATCTTTCGGTTGTCGGGCTTGCGATATATACCTCTCTGTAGCTCTTGTCTTCTCTCTTGTGCCTCGGACTCGCTATATTGTAAGATCTCTATTTTTCCTGTGTTTCTCTCTTAGTTATTTACTATCAGTGATGTCCTTAAATAATTGGCTTTTATTTATTGAAAGTATTTATGAAAACTTTTCTTTTTTTCACATAAAATTTAAATAACATTTTATGTTAAGTTAAGATGTTCAATAGAAGATGTAATTGTAATATATAAAAAAAATAATGGCAAAAATTTTGAAAATAATTGATAATTTTCCAAATTTATTACAAGAAAACCGGAAATGGTATATTGCAGTATTTACAATCATTGGAAAGCTTATTTTATCTTTAATTTGTATCTCTAATTATCGAATTAGATAGTTAGTGGTTATTGAGTAATTAAATAAAACATGAAGACGTAAAAAAAATCGAAATATTGCTATATCTTTCATATTAAATAATATTATATAATAGTAATTGTATCAAAATATGAGCAATAGAAAACTTCTTTTGATATAATCATAAAGTAGAAAAGAAGTATTAGAGTTTTTCAATAATTGTTTAAAATTAAACAAAAATCTTAAAAATAATTGATAGCTCAAATTTACATTTTTTTTACAAGAAGTCGGAAAATAGCACATATTTGTTTATATACTCATTGTAAGACTATTGTTTTATCTTTAATTTGATTTTAATTAACTAATTAGCGTTAGTGGTTATAGAGTAATAGAAGAAAATGTGAAGACGTGAATCGAAAAATCACTATATCTTTGCTATTCAAAAATATCATATAATAGTAATTGTATCAAAAGATGCGCAAGATAAGACTCCTTTTGATGTAATCACAAAATATAGAAAAAGTATTATAGTTTTCCAATAATTGTTTAAAATTTCAAAATAATTGATAGCTCAAATTTACTAATTTATTACAAGTAAACAGGAAATTGCAAATATATGCACAATAGAAGACTCCTTTTGATGTAATCATAAAATATAGAAAAAGTTTTATAGTTTTTTAATAATTATTTCAAATTAAAAAAAAACTTATTACTTTATTAATTGCATAATAGCTCAACTTTTCAATTTTATTACAATAAAACCGGATATGTCATGTATATATGTACATTTAAATTTGTTGGAATATTTTATCTTTAATTTGGATGTTTAATTATCGAATTAACATTATTGGTTATCCAGTAATTAAATAAAACATGACGACGTGAAAGAAAAAATGAAAATCGCTATATTTTACTTATTAAATAACATTGCATAATAGTTGTTATACCAAAAGTTGCGGAATAGAAGACACCTTCTGTTGTAATTAGTCAAATATATGAAATGTGTTATAGTTATCAAGTTAATATGTAAAATTTAAAAATCCCATTTTTTGAAAAATTGTAGTTAGTATACCAAACTCGTTTATATTTTATTTGATGCGACTAAGTATGAAGTAATTATAAACGACTTAATGAAAATGTACGTTTGTTGCATAATCAAAAGAAACACATGTATGACAATGGTTTTAGTTTGAATGCAACTGATTGTGGAATAATATATTCACTATTGTTTGATGATTAATTACATTTCAAATGAAAACAATGCGAGTGTACATAAACAAAGTCGTCATGTTGGTAATTCCAATTGGAAGCTTGATTAATGGTTTCGATGGCTGAAAATACGACACTATGAACATTAAATATTTGTATTTATGAAGTGGCCACTCTTTAAACTCGATCAATCTTTATTTACAAAATAAAACCAATTTGATCAGGAAATGGATAAAGAAAATAACCGTTTCCTGTTTATTTTTGTTGTTGTTGGTATGCTGTGTAAGTGCATGCACGAACGTGTTTGGATAATGCGTTTGGGGGGGTTGTTTGTTTGAAGGGGATGTTCATCATCGGTGGTTAATCTATGCAATTCTGTTGCAGGTTTGTTGGTGATCGCGCAGAGTGGCCAAGGGTGGTAATGGAGGCGTGAATTGAGGTCACACCAGAGACATGAGGTAATAGCAGCAGCAGCAGAGAGAGTGGTTGGTTGAACGAATCGAGTGGATGCGTGAGAATGACAATGCGTTTGAGCCGCGGTGGGTCCCGCAGGACTATGTTCTGCGTCGTATTCCTCGTTCTGCTCGTCCTGGTAATGATGCTGCGACTGGGCATACTCTGCTACACGGAGGAAGAGCTACCAGCTATGGTCACGGCCGACAAATACGTTATGGACGGAGACAAGAAGTACCCTTATAATAGGGAAATGCCCTTGATCTTTATTGGAGGAGTGCCCAGATCTGGAACGACGTTGATGAGAGCTATGCTAGATGCTCATCCCGATATAAGGTAAATTTTGTAAACTTATTACTTTTCTCACTAAAATATCTGACATTTTTACAAAATCTATTGTTTATAATGACAGCTGTCATTTCCATTGACAGATGTCAATCCATTAAGAATTTGCACAACCCAATTGAGGAAGGCTGGTATAGACTATTTTTATAGTTTCTCTATTTATAATCAAATACTATTGAAGGTTTTATATATACGAAAACTTATAATGTTATGTACTCTTAAAAGTACTTTTCAAGTATCAAGTTTATAGTCAATATTTATTTTGTATCGTATAGATAAGTAAAAATCTTTACTAATAATTAATAGGTTTTCATGTTTGCAAAAGTTATTACATTTACTTTGCTTTATACTTGTCAAGTAATACCTATAGTCAATAAGTTTATAATAGTTTGAAGATTTATGTTTGCATCTGTGATTATAACTTCATGAATTAAAACGCTTAAAAAAGTTGCTAATTTTATGTACTTTGCAATTTACTTGTCAAGTATCGTATATTTTCAATTCTATAAATCTTTGTTGAGAAATTTGATAAATTACCTTTTTTAAACTTGCTAATTACATATATTTTACATATTACTTGTCAAGTATCAAACATAGTAAATAAGTGAATATTAAAATATTTATCTTTACTTAGAATTTGGTATTTTTTCTTAAAGTAAATCAATAAATTACGCTTGAAAAACTTGTTAATTAAATATACTTTACATATTACTTGTCAAGTATTGAATGTAGTAAATAAATGAATACTAAAATATGGACTTTTACACTTTGAATTTGGAAGTTTTTCCTGAAGTAAATCAATAAATTACGCTTGAAAAAATTTCCAATTTCATATACTTTACATATTACTTGTCAAGTATCGAATGTAGTATATAAATGAATACTAAAATATAGATCTATACATAGAATTTTCAAGCTTTTTCTAAAGGAAATCAATAAATTACGCTTGAAAAACTTGTTAATTAAATATACTTTACATATTACTTGTCAAGTATTGAATGTAGTAAATAAATGAATACTAAAATATGGACCTTTACACTTTGAATTTGGAAGTTTTTCCTGAAGTAAATCAATAAATTACGCTTGAAATAGTTGCCAATTTCATATACTTTACATATTACTTGTCAAGTGTCAAATGCAGTAAATAAATGAATACAAAATATGGATCTTTACACAGAATTTGGAAGATTTTAAATTACGCTTACAAAACTTGCTAATCATATATACTTTACATCTTACTTGTCAAGTAAATTAAAAGTATAATATTTATTATGATCGTAGCGTAGCGATTGTAGTTTATATTTAATGAATGAAAAATATCATAGCTTCAACAAGTACTTTATAAATGTAATTAAACCAATCCTAAAATTGTGATGTAATTAATATAAGTCACGTTCTTATGTTGATTAAATAAACAAAGTAATGCGATAATTGTGAGTTTGCGGAGAAGGGATTAAAGTCAGTGAAAATGATCCGGCTTAAGCTGAATAAATCATAGTCAAGCTGAAGTTACCCATTACTGTTTTTCTCCACCAAAAGATGGAGCAAGTTTTGCATCGGAACCGAAACTTTGCGACCACTTTGCATGCATTAAGCATCTTCGCCCCAAACAATAAACAAATTCTATTTGTCTCGTTAAGCCTTGCATAAGAAAGTTACCCTGGTTTTAATTAAAGCCTACTTCAATTCCTCGCATGAAACGCGATTCATTAAACGATAACAATGTCAAGTTAAGACGCAACGTTTCATCAAAAAAAAAAGGAAACTGAAAGCAATTTTTTTTAATAGAAATTAATTTGGAAAACGAAACTTTGTGGAAAAGCTACTATAATCATGCGAAGAAGCGAAAGCTTAATGCACTTCGGAATTCAATGAAGCTCATGAGGATGGAGAGTGGAAAGTTTACTTTTGGACCTAATGATGCGCGAAGAATAATACAGTTGCATTGAAATGTTACGTAACTAGCTGAAGTTTTTTTTCTTCTTCTTTTTGTGCATGCCAATTTTCCGTGTAAATACGTAAAGAAAATTCCGCTTCGCTCGACCAAACCTACTGCATGGAACATGGACACGTGCATGGAATTGGAAAAATGTAAATGTATATTTTTTTTATATTTCATTTGCTTCTTTGCTCCTTTTCACAAAAAAAAGTAATATGAGAAATTAGGGCGTTTTTGGGACCTTAACTAATTTTGTTTCACTTTCGCGATTATTAAAATAAATTTACATATAAATTTCAGGAAATGTTATCAAAATTATTGAAATACTTAAGTAACGTTAATGTTTTAAAGTTAAGCAACATGTTGGGAGGATTCTCATGGATTGACGATAAATATATATTGAAATAATATACATGTTTACATAATTCTCGATAATTTCTAGTAATTCGTATATATTATACGCATTTATTTTTCTTGTAATTTGATAACACAACCTCTACTTCTATAGTCAGTGTTTGTTAATTATTGAAAATATCGAATTTATGCACATGATTAAAATTTGATGCGCACTATATTCGAGATATTGTATAAACGCATTTTAAAGAAATAATTGTTTCAGTTATATTTGCTAATGTGCAAACAGAAATAGAATCAGAACTAAAAAGTGGAACAAATCAATACAATCCTTTGCATATGTCCTTGATAGTGTAGGATTTGTGCATATTGAAATGTAATGTGCGATGTGAATTAATCCTTCGTAATACAAAATTATGGCATAAATATTAATGCCACCTGACTTCCGAAAGTTCTTGCCTCTATCCTCTCCTCTCTCGTGAGGATTTTATCTCAATTCCGTCGAGCTTCCAAGTTTTCCATACAAAACTGTTACAGACTCGGAGCGGCGCGAATAATGCATAACTTTATTGTTGGAAAGTTGGAAAACCGTTTAGACGATTCTACTCTTCTTCGTGAGGCTTCGAGCAAGGATCTGAACACCGACTTTATCGTGTCATAAAAGATGAGAAGAACAAAAAAAATATAAGTTTACCTTGTCTTTGCAAGTCTTTGTCGTTCGATTCGTGTCTTTAATTTATGATTAATTAATTAACGAAACGTAAATTTACGTGTTAAATACATTTCATTTTCTAATTTACGGTTACAAAAGTTGCTAATTCTATGTACTTTGTAATTTACATATCAAGTATCGTATATTTTCAATACTATAAATTTTTGCTGAGAAATTTGAGGCTTTGCCTGAAGTAAAACAATAAATTACCTTTCTTAAACTGGACATTTATATATAGTATGTATCCTACTTGCTAAGTATCAAGTATATATTTTAACAATGTTTGTAAAAATTGACAGTTACATGTGCTTTGGAATGTACTTGTCAAGTATCGTATATTGTCAATATTTTCAAGTGTTGAAAGTATTCATATTTACTAAGAATTCGAAGTTTTCGCTGAAATTAATCATAAATTTTAATTGTAAAACTTTACATATTACTTGTCAAGTATTGAATGTAGTAAATAAATGTATACTAAAATACTTTACACTATAAATTTGAAAGTTATTTCTGAAGTAAATCAATAAATTACGATTGTAAATGTTGCCAATTTCATTACTTTACATATTACTTGTCAAGTATCGAATGTAGTATATAAATTAATACTAAAATATGAATCTATACATATAAGTTCTAAGCTTTTCCTAAAGGAAATCAATAAATTGCACTTGAAAAACTTGTTAATTATATATACTTTAATCTACTCGTGAAGTAAGTTAAAAGTGAAAGTGAAAATGAAATGAAAACAATACGATTATAGCGCAATCTAGTTAAAATTTACTGAATGAAAAATAGGATACATTAACAAATACTTTCTAAATGTAATTAAACCAATCCTTACCTTGTCTTTGAAAGTCTTTGTCGTTCGATTCGTGTCTTTAATTTATGATCAATTAATTAACGAAACGTAAATTTACGTGTTAAATACATTTCATTTTCTAATTGAAAATTTGATTTTAATTTATTTTTTTTGTATTTAGTTTAGTTACATCCTTTTTTACTTTGCATGGGGATTTTGAGAAATGTTCATACTAACGTACTTTTTAATGACTTGTTTAAATATCATTGCAACAAATAATTTTCAATTGAATTTTATGTAAACAAAATAAGTATGTACGAAGTTATATACACTGTGTACGTTTCTTTTTATATATTTCGTATGTGAATATATGAATTTTGGATGGGGATGTCCATCATTTATCTTTTAATTGTCACACGATGCGTTTAAACATCGGCTCGAAAGATTCATATCCTTCAGGATGCGAAACTTGAATTATTGGTCATAAATTTTACTTTGTCGTTGGATAAATAGTGGAACAGTTTATCGACCAATTTTTTTTCTGTTACACGTTACGTTATATAATTAGGATTTACTGCTGCTTAGCAATATTTTATATTTGTACGAATAACTGTGAACAAAACAAAGTTCTTACATTTATTTTTTTTTCAAATTTTCACAAGTTTGTGTCTTTCTATACCAGGAGTGTCCAAATTGTGGCTCGCGAGCCGCATGCGGCTCTTCAAATGTTTCATTGTGGCTCAGTTAGAATACAGTAATGTAAATTATTTAACAGGAGTGGCCAAACTGAGAATGGCGAGCCGCATGCGGCTCATCAACAGTTTTATTGTGGCTCAACTAATAAATAAAATAAATTTTTATACCAAAAAACTTTAAGTGTGGCTCTCAATATTTTTAGGTAGGCTCTTGCTGCAAAAAGTCTGGCCACCTCTGTTCTATACAGTAATACCTCGATTTACGTTATTCTACTTGTATGTAACGAATTAGATTAGTAAGACTCTTAAATACTTTTAATCGTAACAAAGATTTAGTTAAAAACTTTTTCTTTCTTTTTTTAATTTTATTAAAAACAAATCCAACTTTCTGACCTTGAATCAAGGACATTAGCATTATTCAAAATTTTCTTTATTATATAGAATTTGTCTTCATAAATATGTTAATGATGACTTTTTATTTGAATCTACTTTATTT